TGGCTTTTTTTGCTGTTTATTCATTAATCCTAAAAACAAAAGTTCTGACTTCCACTGAATATTGATCTTTAAAATCCTCTGTATCGAAGTATGTATTTCAATTAAAAATGATTAATTTTTTTTACATGTCCACCATCCATGATAAAATGTCACTTCATATCGTTCACATTTACAACATACATTTGAAGTACCTTTGTACACTCTACATAATTTCTCTGATATCACGATACATCATTTTCTAAAAATTATCTTTAAGATCATAACACAATCTAAATTGCAATCCTTTTAACCATATATCTATCCATTGGTTCATCTGTATATTATATCAAAAAGGTTTAACCCATTTTATCTTAGAGTTCTTTACAAAACTGGAAGTTTCTGAGTAAAAAAGATTAGCTTTTTTCCTCAAAAGAGGCCACCAGCTTCTGTCATGCTCAAATATGATGGAACATGCAGAGAACTTATGAAGATTTTCCTGTGGTTCCCATTTCTCTTCTTTTTAATGTTCACCAAGCCAGTTCAGTATTTCATGCTGACTCTGCATGACTGTTCCATTTACCCTTTAGATAGTAACTGTAGCTAATTTAGATGAGCAGAAAATGGTAGTGAAGCTTTCAAAATGACTGTGAATAAAACCTCTATTGGCAAACTTTAGCAAATCTATCGTGTTAGTATTTGGCTCTTGAAAAAAATGATTTCTAGGGGGAGGAAAAGAATTGTTGGAAGTTTAATGAATGTGAGAAGTCCAAACTAATATTGATTTTGTATTTATAAAGAACAAAAAAAGATCATCAATCTCAGCCATACCCAAATTAGTGAGGCATTCCAGATTTCTTAGGTTCTCAGATTTAGACACAGCTAGAGGATACCATGTGGCTGACAGCTGCTGTACCATTTCAGAATGAAAATTGTTAAGTAGTTCTTTAAATGCACACTCATCTAAAAAGCTCATTAAAAGTAATAATCTCCCTCCAAACTTACCATTCATAGATTTATTTGCCATACATGCTGGGTAATTTTCTTCAAGTGCAGAAATATATTTTATCATTTTAAAGCTTTGTTAAGTATATACAAAAATTGTGTTAATCTAGTGTGTTTTCCATATGGATGAAGTATTGATGATAGTGAATTTGAACACACTTTTTTCTCTTGGTAGTATCTGAATATACTTACATAGAAAGAAACTCATGGGGGAGGGATAAAATCAGGGGGAAAAATAAATTAAAATAGGAAAATTACCCCAATTAAGGCAATTCAACAGTTAAAAATAGAACATTGAATCATTCAAACTATATAAATGGTTCTCAACCTGTGGTCTGCGAATCCTTGGGGGGGGGGCTGCAGTGTCATCACAGGAGGTCCAAAAAGGCTTGAAGAAATGTTATGATTTAAATTGTGGACTAAATCTTGTAGGTTCGTGGCCATAATCCATGGCCTCAAAAGGTATTCAAAGGGGTTCATGGTGAAGAAAAGTTGAGAACCACTGAACTATCCAATATCTTGCATAGTCTTAAATAGTAAACTCCAAAATTTGACTATCTTTGTCTATATAATATGCAAAATATCATCTCTAAAATGAATTATTGTATTGTGGTGGAGGAATGATTAAACTGCAGTATTGCAGGCAAGCTTTGCCTACATCCTAGAGATTGATCCTGATAGGGCTGAAGGTTGACTCAGCCTTCCATCCTTCTGAAATTGATAAAATGAGGATCCAGATTGTTGGGGGCAATATGCTGACAATGTAAACCACCCAGAGAGTGCTGTAAAGCAATACGGGGCAGTATATAAGTCTAAGTAGCTATTTCTGTTATCTGAAGCTGCTTTTGAAAGATTACCCAAAATTCCAACAGATGCAAATCTACATAATGATATTGGAGTGTCATTATGGAGAATATAAATCTCATGTTGTTTCCATTTGTGTTCATTCATATGCATTGTCAAAAGTGGTGTTATTTTGATTTATTTATTTTAATTATGTTGTCCAACTCAGCAGTGGCACAGGAAGACTTTACTGGTGTTTCTTAAATTTGACAACTTTATGATGTATGGATTTCAACTACTAAAATTCTCCAGCCAGCCATGTTGGTAGACATCAAACAGAATACAAGTGATCCAAATACTCTGAAGACATGTTCATTGCTGTGCTAAAAATGCACCCTTCTTCCTACCTCCCCACTTATATTTTTATTTTATTTTAGAAAAAAATAGTTATTAATTTGACTAGATGTATCTATATACTTTGCTCTACTTCTTTTTATTTTTTACACTGGTCAGTACGAGAAACGTAACTGAACCATAATTGAAAGATGATTAAGGAACTGGAGACTGAAACATATGAAGAAAGATTACAGGAATTGAACATGCCAAGCCTAATGAAAAGAAGGACTAGGGGTGACATGATAGAAGTGTTTCAAATATTTGAGGGGCTTCCACAAAGAAGGGGGGGTCAACCTATTTTCTAAAGTACCTGAGGACAGGGCAAGAAGTAATAGCTAGAAATTTATAAAGGAGAGGTTCATCCTAGAACTAAGGAGAAATTTCCTGAACTAAGAAATTTTGTGACAGTGAAAACAATTAATCAGTGGAATGACTTTCCTCCAGAAGTTGTGAGTGCTCCATCATTGGAGGCTTTTAGGCAGATATTGGCAGCCATTTGTCTGAAATGATATAGGGTCTTCTCCTTGAACGGGGGTTGGACTAGAAGACCTCCAAGGTCCCTCCCAACTCTGTTATTCTGTTCTGTTATTCTGTTAAAATCCTATTCTATTTATATGGGATTACCCTTTCCACAGCAACCCTATAAGATAAATTTGGCTGAGGACAGGAACTAGCTCAACGTTACTAAGTCAGTTTCTGTGGATTTGAATCTCGGTCTCCAGTCTAGGAAGAGAAATATTGTACCACACTGATCTCATATATACAGTAAGGTAACGATTAGGGAATGCCTCTAAAGAAAAAAAAATAACTGAAGTTCTAGGCCTGAAAGATAAAATATTTAAGTTTAACATTTAACATGAAGTTTAAAAAATGGAGCTAAAATAAAATATATTTAACTCACTAAATGTGACATTGCTGTTTAGCACAGATAAAACTTTGTCTCTGATTGCCAAATATCGGCATTTCTTTCTCTTTTAATTTTGAATTATGTCTACTTAATTTCCATTATATCCAGTGTGAATAGAAACTGTTGCAAAGAAATGATTATTACTTTGTATGAACCAGTTCGTCAGTCAATGCTAAAATTAAAACAAGTCAGAGGTATTGGATAAAATGCAGAACAGATGGAAATATAACTTTTATTACATTTAACTCATGAAGCAAATCATCTGGAATAATTTTATGACATAGGAAGTAGTACGGTCATATATTTTTTCAGAATACAAGATGGCTTTCCTTGTAGCCACTATTTTCCTGTCCTCTTATTTCAAATGCACTTGGGAAAGCCCAATAAAACTTCACAAAGATGGCTTTTCCTCTGACAAATTCATGATAAATTGCCATATGCATACCTAGCATGTATAATTATTTGTTATCCATGTACAAGTAGGAGGAGTGGCGTGGATAAGAAGAAAGGTCCTTGCTTATAATGTATATTCTTCACAGCACAATATGAAAAGATATAAGTACTACATTCAAAAAAAAATTGGAAAGCAGATTTGATGAGCTGGAGATACTCACTATGTGTAGTGAAATGTTTAGCTGGAGAAGCAGTGGAAGGGGATCTTGGCAGCACCACAGTTTCCCAGGGAGGTGGCAATATATCCCAGAGAAAAATCCAGATTGAAAGACTGCACATTCCTAAAATGGCCTGGGAGAGAGAAGAGGTTCAGAGTAGTTACATCCTAGAATCTCTCAGGATCTATCAAGTAGGATTAGAAGTAAAGCTATAGCTTTAGATTAGCAAGATTATGTCCATTAGGTGTAAACAAATAAAGGGTTGGGTTCAATTTGATATCACTATGTGTTTTTGGGCTTGGCCTGATAATATATCTCCTTTTTGGTGCTGCATATATCAAAAGGAAAACAAAAGTCTTCTCTCAATACCTTACCTTTCAAGAAGGAAAAAAAATAATCATTTTTAGATTAAGATAAATATTTGTTCTGGCACTATTAATATATTAGAATAGAATAATAACAGAATAATAATTTTATTGTCACTTTAAATGTACACTAATCGGCAGACATTAAAATAACATTTTGTTGCATTCAGCTGTCAAAGGATCATCACCTCTGATATACAATACATAAATATGACAAAAATAAATAAATAAATACAGAATTATGTATATAACCACATATATTATACCACACAGAGAAACAATAGTCTAGTTTGGGTTATGTATACATGTGCATGACGAGAAAAACGAATGTTGCGAGTTTACCAGACGGATGGCATAGGGAACAAAGCTATTACAGAATGGGTAGTCCTGCTAGAAATACTTCAAAACCTCCTCTCAGAGAGGAGCAACAAAACCAGACCATAAAGTGGGTGTGTGGGGTCTCTAACAATGCTTTGAGCTCTAAGCACATAGCGCTTATAAGCAGCATCCTGAATACCAGGAAGCGAGACCAAAACTGGAGCATAGCTGTTAGATCCTATTCAACCAGGATTTGTAAGGGATATATATTTCGGTTTCATAAGATCTTCTAAATTCCATCCTTCAGGCTGGAATGGTATAAAATAAACCTTGAGTGCAAATTATATATGTTAGTCATTGGCTAAAATTAATTTTTAACCCGAGTTGTTTGGCCGCTTTGACTCTTTAAGATAAATTCCAGCTTTTGGTGGAAATTACTTAATTGTACCCTAAGGTTTTGTGGAGTTTCATCTTATGCATTGATCTTAATGGATTTTGAAGAGGGCATGCCCTTCCTTAAGCAACATGACAGAGAAAATAACCTCAGAATTATTTCAGGCGGACTCCAGCTTACTTTATCTGAGTGCAAAATAATAAATTAAAGTAATAATCAGGATTTGTTTGTTTGCTTGCTTTCAGGTTAACAGGATTTCATCTTCCTCCACCTGTGACCTCCACAAAATCTGTATTTTCATTACGATTAACCAGTGACTTTGCAGTGAGTGCTCATGGATTTAAAGTATATTATGAAGGTAAAGTAATATGTTATAAATATGTATGTTAGAACTGCAATAGCTTATGTCAACATTCAATTTTGGAACACGAATCGGTATTTATGAACCATAAGTAGGGCAAAGTATAATAAAGGAAACAAAGGCAGCAATTTATATTACAATCATATAACTGATACTGCACAGTCTGAGATCCTACAATGAGAGCATATTAATTTTATGTATTACCAGTTAGATGTGTCTATGTGATAGCCAGCTGTTTTCTTTTTTCTTTTTAATTACCCCACATTAGTCTAACCCTTGGTGCTTATGTTTCTTCATCTTCCTTACATGAGACACACAGAGATCATACTGTGAATGGGATAATCATGTTCTGCTGTTTGATCAACCTGATTTACAGCAATTAGAGGCAGCTAAGAGTAAAAACCAATGAAACTAATGCAAAGAATGCAACATTGTTGCAAAAAGTACTAAAGCTACATTTTGAAAGATCATTGTTTCTGACAGCTTGATCAAACAGATATACATATACATATAGTGTATAATAAAAAATATTTAAAAGATGTTGAAACTCTGGAAAGAGTGCAAAGAAGAGCAACAAAGTTGATTAGGGGGCTGGAGGCTAAAACATATGAAGAACACTTGCAGGAATTGGGTATATCTAGTCTAGTGAAAAGAAGGATTATGTGTCACATAATAACAGTGTTCCAATATTTGAGAGGCTGCCACAAAGAAGAGGGACTCAACTTTTTTTCCAAAGTACCAGAAGGCTAGACAAGAAGCAATGGATGGAAACTAAACAAGGAAAGAACCAACCTAGAACTAAGGAGAAATTTCTTGACAGTGAGAACAATCAACCAGTAGAACAGCTTGTCTTCAGAAGATGTGGATGTTCCATCACTGGAGGCTTTTAAGAAGAGACTAGACAGCCATTTATCTGAAATGGAATAGGGTCTCCTGCTTGTGCAGGGGGTAGGGCTAGAAGACCTCCAAGGTCCCTTCCAAGTCTAATGATATTCTATGTTCTACTTTCTCCATAGTGAGCTGAGCCTCACTTAGACTATTTCAGAATGGAATTTTTTTCCCCACTCTGTAATGAAATGAGCATTTCAGCTCATGTCAATCACTGTTTGCTTCATTTGGAGCCAAGAATAACAAGAAAAAATGCAAAATAGTATAAAATATCTGATCTGGTATCAATATGGATGGTTGAAGTTGCGATGGGCGAGGGAGCTTTCTCGTTCCTTTGCAATGTGTTTTTGGCTCATTTATTTCCTTGCAAGTTCTACATTGCCACTCTTCAGTGGAAAATGCTGTTTTATTATCTTTGGTTTCCTTCCATCTGTCTGATTATCTTTGAGTTCAGGATTGTACTTGACCCTATTTGAGTGTTACGGCATGAGACTTTGTGCATTTTTTCATCACTGGTGTTTCAGGATTCACTAATATTTGATTAAATTAAAGAGAGATACTTAAGAGTTAATTATACTCTAGAGAAATCAATGTAAATTAGGCCATTTTCCATGCCAACTTCCAGTTTTGGCATCCTTTTATTGCAATAGCACATAAGAGTTTTATCAGGCTGGCAACAAGAAGCCAGAATGACTTTTTTTCCCTTTCTTTTCCTAGCCGAGCATGACCAAGAAAGGAAATTGACATATAGCTTAAAATAAACTGAAGAATATTCCATTGACGGGAGAATATTTGTAGCTCAGGGTTGAAATGAGGGGTCTTTGGTGATCTCTGTATTATGTAACATCATTAGGTTAGTGCTAGTGATCAGTGCTAGCACTGTTGATATTACCTAGTTTGGATAATAAAATGTCTACAAGAAAGCAACCAAGATCAGAGACCACCAACAACATTCCATTTCTTGTTTTATGTTCCCTTGGTCCTGAGAAGGGCCCCATTTCTCCTTATTTATCTCTTGCAAAATAATTCCTCCATGATATTATAAGAAAAGCATTAGGCTTGATCCATAGAACCAAAAGGCAGCCATGTGGCTTGGATGAGAGAAATCCAATTTATTTTTCCAACCAGCAATGCACAGTGACTGTAAAATGAAAATGGGATTAATTCCACATTGAGCCTGAAGAAAATATGATAAAATTAAGAATAAATAATGATCTTCACTTAAAAAAAAAGAACCTCGGGGAGCTTCACTGGCTAATTGAAGGGCAGGAAGCTGAGTAGGCGAGGGGCTTCAAATATTTAGGTGTTGCCTTCTAAGATTCAGTATCATGGAATGCATCATCAGTGTGGTAGCACAAGCTCAGAAAAGATTTTCAGCCATCTTAGGATTCTCCCATGCAAAAAGAGGAGAATGTATCCTTATAGCTTTCAAATTATTCTCAGCCAAAACCTCTGGCTCAACTGCTCCCAGCTAGGCCCATATCCAAATTACACACAGATGGAAATTGTTCATTAGAGCAGCGTTCCAAGCCCCAAAATGTATATCTAATACAATTCTGAGATTTGAAGTTGGTCAAATGAGAATTGAGGTCAGAGCATGGTTATTAATCTTTAATTACTTGCTTAAATGCCATTATTTTCCAGCTGGGCTGATTCCATCTATTTTTTTCAGATGAATTTGAATCCTCTTGAGATTCAAGCAATAGGTATATATCTTCTATCTTGTGGCCTCTTCCTTGGCTCTCTATATCTTCTTCACTGAGGCTAGGAAAGTTATTAAAGAATTAGACATTGAAGCGCAGAATGGAAGAGGTCTCATCCAAAATGTATCATGTCACATTTGGACTACTGCACTGCACTGTACATGGGGCTATCCTTGAAGAGCATTCAGTTCTTTGGGTCCTTAGGATAATAATAATAATAATGATAATGATAATGATAATGATAATGATAATGATAATGATAATGATAATGATAATGATGATGATAAAGTTGGAAGGGACCTTGGAGGTCATCAAGTCCAACCCCCTGCTCAGGCAGGTAACCCTATACCATTTCAGACAAATGGCTGCCCAGTCTCTTCTTAAAAACTTCCAGTGTTGCAGCATTCACAGCTTCTAGAGGCAGATTGTTCCACTGGTTAATTGTTCTAACTGTCAGGAAATTTCTCCTTAGTTCTAGGTTGCTTCTCTCCTTGATTAGTTTCCATCCATTGCTTCTTGTCCTGCCTTCAGGCGCTTTGGAAAAAATGGTCAATATTATATCACTCTTCCATGAGCTGCATTGGGTGCCAGTCTGCTTCTGGATGCAATTCAAGTTGTTGGTTATTACCTTTAAAGCCCTGCATGGCATGGCTCCAGGTTACTTGAGGAACCACTGGGACTGGCTTGTCCCACCCACACTGGCACAGGAGGCATGCTGTGGCCCCTATTGATTAAGGCAGCGGTTCTCAACCTATGGGTCACGACCCCATTTGGGGTCGATCGACCATTTCACGGGGGTCGCCAAGCAAGGCTGTCCGCCATTTTTTCGCCCTTTTCCGGCAGGTGCCTTACCTCCCTTGAGCTGGGCCAGCTGGTGGTCGGCCTGCTCCGTCTCTGCCGCTTGCCAGCTACGCCTCGGCCGGCGCAGGGGGCGGAACCACACATGTGCGGCGCTCCCGGGCAGGGAAAGTCCTCGACTTACGACCGGTTGGGTAGTCCTCGACTTACGATCGGTTTAGTCCTCGACTTACGACCGGTTTAGTCCTCAACTTACGACCGGTTTAGTCCTCAACTTACGACCCGTTGGGGGTCGCGGCATTAAAAAGGTTGCGAACCACTGGATTAAGGAAATCTGACTAGCGGGAGAAAGGAATTCTCTGAGTAATTCTTGCCCTTTGGAACAGCTTATCCCCTGCAGTAAGATTGGCTTCCACCCTTCTGACTTTCCGCAGAAGCCTGAAGACCTGGCTCTACCAGATGGCTTGGAATCCAAAAGGGGACCATCACACTCCAGGTGGTTGATGAATTAAGAGGCAATCCCACATCCTTCCCCCCCCCCATGCATCCTGTTCCTTCCCTCCCCATCTTTTAACTATAATTTTATCTTGATTGGGATTTTTAATTTTTATTCCTTTAGAGATATTTATTTGTTAGGATTTTAATATTTAATGCTGTAAATCACCCAGAATATTTTTGTTATGAGGTGGGATGCAAATAAATTCAATAGACAGACAGACAGACAGATTCTAGACATGGAGACCAAAATGTTAAGATTGGTCTCCTAAAAGTAGTGGTAATACTGTAAATTACATCTACTTGAAAAACATTAAATACTAGACATTTCTAAATTCAGGAAAAAAAAACCAATCTCTGATCTATGCAATTTTCTACGGTCTCTAATGTCCAGATATTTTGGAAAAGGTTAACTCACTAAATTTAACATGCTAGGCAAGCATTCAATTCAATTTCTTAACTACAGTAAGATTTTAACAAGAATGCCCCTTGATCTGCAGTGAAACCAAGCATTAAGAACTGGCTAAGTCTGTAGTACAAGATGAATATGAATTTTAGAATCATTGCCACACAGGGCAAAATTGTCTGATAGTGCTCTTGAGCTTTCAATATTCACTTCATTAATCTTCACAGAATAGAATATTAATTAGATAGGTAATTAGGATTCCAAGCTAATAACTGAGAATTGCAGCAAGAAATTTTGTAATTCATTGTTCTACATTGCTCATGGATAGTTCAAAACAAAATTGGTCTCTCTTCATTGTTGTTGTTTAACATAGAAATGTGATGACACACCAAAGTTTGCTTCAAAGAGGGATGTGCAGCAGTGAAACATGGAATCCAGTGCCATCCTCAGTGAGAAAAGTTGTTAAAACCAAAATAATAGTAAAAATAATAATAGTAAAAAAAAATTAAAAGTTTTCAACAATTTACAAGTTGCACAAAATAAAATAAAAGTGTGTGTGTGTGTGTGTGTGAGAGAGAGAGAGAGAGAGAGAGAGAGAGAGAGAGAGAGAGAGAGAATGAGAATAGAACCAGTTTGGTGTAGTGATAAAGTACCATGATAAACATTCAGAGTCTGTGAATTCCAGTCCTGCTTTAGGTATAAAACCA